ATATCCAGCCGTGTGAAAGCACATCTTTTTTTAAAAGATAGAAAAAAAAAACACACAGAGCCTGGCACCTAAGTACACATCATTTTCTTAATTAAAAAAAAGAAAAATCAAAGTAAAGTTTTACATTTTTTTCAACACCATCCAAGAGTACAATTAAGACTCATTAGGTCAAAGACAGCTCCACAGAATCAAATCATCTGTTCACCTTAAAGGCTTTTTATGTTTTGAGTTAACTGACCAGTAAAAGCCAGCAACCCTCGGAAAAATCTCTGCAGCCAGTCCAACAACACGCAGTCAGTCAGTCAGCGATATTATATATTTATATCACATTCCACTTTTGTTACACTATGAAACTAAAAATGTAAATTTTGTTTTAAAGTATTCTTTTCAAAGCAAGCATGTGTCAGCTACTAAAAATGCTGAGCAAATTTAGACAAAAATAAAATGTGTCTACGAGACGCATGCAGAGCCTAGAAGTCTACGGAAGCTGAAAAAACAACAAAAAAGTGCAGAGGCTAAAAGAAAAAAGAAATCTTCATACAGACTCTTGACAGATTGAACATGAACAGGCTCATTGTTTATTAACTGGTATTCGTATTAGGTCACGTTGCATAACGTCACTGATGTCCCCTTTCACAAGGAGCGCTATTTTGCTGCATTCCATAGTAACACTCAGACTGACTGCTTTCATTGTTTAGCATTTTAACATTTATATCCACCTAGTAACAAGCCCCAAAAATATATACAGAATTCCAGCCATGCATAATTCTCATATTTTAAACTACTTTTTAATTAAGAGCTATAAGATGTACAGTTTAATCTTACATAATTAATTTCTTTGTCTGTCTTTCACAACAGTCAGGTGGTGCAATTTACTTTTTTTTAATTCTCCAAGTATGCTTGGAAGTAACATGCTCATCATTTCTTGTACAAAGAATGAATAATTAGTGGTCTCTGAGTAAATGACTATATATATATATATACATACATATACATATATATATATAATATCTTGTGCTTTTTTAAACACAAGTTACACCAACACTGGGTAAAAATAACAAATGTGCAGCAGGTTCTTTTGAGAATATGCAGAATCTTGTCAATCCAGCTTCGCAACTGTTCCCTAATTATGGATCAAGAAGTCGTATAAATAATTTTTAGTCAAAGCCACTTATTAAGCGCAAGGAAACACGCTAGCCATTTTACCACGTCATGGGATTGTTATGTTTTAAACGGGTCATCCCCACTGGCATTCTGTGAGTTTTGCCAAAAAGTAGGTTGATCTACTGATCTTTTTAGCATATTAAAATATCAGTGGAATAGTCTCTTATTTGCTCGATTTGCAGATTTGCGTTATGACACTAGTTTTGTTGTGTTGTGGCTGTGTGTTAAACTCTACAATCTTGAAAGTTCATGGCTCACTTGTTGTTCAACTGTCTTGTTTATCACACTTTCAGGAAGAAAAGAAATTCTTTGACGACCGGTTTTGCAACTGCATTACAGAGAAACCTACATACTCAGACATGCAGTCGAAACTACGAAAGGGGAAGTGAAGAAACCACCCGTGCTTTGACATGGACAGAGTGTTCCATTATTCTTTCAATCATCAGTGTGTCCTTGTAGCCAACCCGGTCCATTGAACGGAGCGGGGACAGCGTGTTAGGGGGCTGTGGCGCTCTCTAGTGTCCCCAGATCAGTTACATAAAGCCAACCCTCCGCTTGGACCCGATTATGAGACTGATCCCGTCAACATTAAACGTCAAATCTCTGCCACTGTTTGCACAAATTGCAAATAAATTAAATCACTGACAGACGGCAGGTATTAAAATTGTAGGCGGGTCGGATCAGGCAGGATGGCGCCGATGACAACAGACGACACAGTTTTTAAGGAGTAGAGGAAAAAGACACGACGGCTGCTGCAGCAAATGAGGGAGGACAGTGGAAATATGCTGTCGGTTGTTGTTAATATAACATCGATACAATGGCATAAGGGGACCAAAACAATTATGTCATTTTTAATGAAAAAAGTTGGACGCCTGGTGTGAATCTTTCCGCTTCCAGCACAAACTCACTGGCCATTGTTTGGGCAACAAGCAGCCACATTCCAGCACCGTGCTGTGGAGCTCGGCCGCTGGGCAACAACTAACACATGCCTCGAATGTAAAATGTAAAAATTGTGCGAAATAAGAAGAAGCGATAGTGCATATTTTACAAAACAATCCAGACACAGAGCCAATTCTCCGGAATAGCACTTTACAAACTAGAATCGCTGCACATACGTCGCCGTTTTTTAATTTCGGTTACCGAATAGTTAAAACGAACGCACCCACATTCGCTAGCTTAAAAATGAAGCTAACCCAGAGTTAGATTTTCACAGTGAAAATGTATAAAACGGTTCAACGTTTGTCATTTGATATATTCTAACTGTTTTAGATTTATACAGAAAACTTTTCACTGGAATTCTCTGGCGCTTTGACGAAACAAGTATTTTGAGATTTTTAAAAGGGAGTTCGAGAAAGTTTTAGACTCGTAGCCTCAAAGTCAAGAGACGTGCGAACTCTGAGCGGACTATCTGTCGGTATTCAGAATAACGTACTCTTTAAAAGTACAATATTCTGGATTGAAAAGTAGAACAAACTCACAACGTATTTTGCACGGGTGTGGGACAATGTTTTTTGGAAGTCGTAAGTCTTAACTGCTCAGCAAAAGTCGGGGTACGCTCACTGTAACAATGTGCTTCTGGGTGTCGTAACACTGTGCAGAAGGGGAAGCCCGGTGAAGCCGTGCCGTAGCCGGACTGCGCCGTGGTCACGCTTCTCCCCTGCCCTTCTCTATTCACTTCCAGACTTACCTTCATCGAGAAGCCTCTCCAGATGTGTGAATATGCCGCAGAGATTTGGCAAACTGGTCATGAGCTTCTTCTCGTTTAATAACTGCATCAAATAGTCGGGACTCGGCCTCGGTCGCTCCTTCACTTCGACCTCTCCGACCATCATCTTTGCGGCGAGTGCGAAGAACAGACCACCGCAAAAGAAAAACACAGAATCCTCTTTTGGGGAAAGAAATGGAGAAAAAAAAAACGAAAAAGAAAAAATGCGGCTCCAAACCCTGGCTTCCCTCCTCCTTTAGAGCAGAATACTGTTAAAACCCCCCTAAAAACAGGTTTGGTTTGTTCTTGTTGTTTGAGTGGAGAGGGGGTAAAAACACAAACCGTTATCTCCCTTCCAGAGACTCGTGCGCCGTACTCTCCTCTACGCTGTGTGCGCTCGGGGACGTTCGATTCCAACACTGTAGGCGCGACACACTGCTCCACTGGAAAGGACCGCCTCCATCATCTCCTATTTGCCACTGGGACTTTCGCAGAATAATAGTAAAGCCAATGAGCGATCAGAATTTGACATAAATGGGCGGTAAAAGACGCCTGTTGACAAGACTGATAGAACACTTAGCCACTAGCGCCACGGACGCCGGAATGCACAGTATGCCAAAGCAGTGTTGTCAACACCGTATAGCACACGTTTCTTTTTCTCCTAACGTCGTATCGCTTATAAACTTTACACTCACACAGTGCTTTCCTTGTCGTCAGTGACATCATACATTAAAACATGTGTTACGGAGACGTTTAATGTGAAAAAGACGTTTGTAACCGCGACCATTTGTAAAAGTAAAGTGGACTGATGCATATAAACTTTCAGGGTTATTAATTTTAAACAGCAACATCAGCTTTGAAAAGTATAGATACACACACACACACATATATATTGGATGCGGGTCTCAATCTAAGCAATAATAATACACTTCCCAGGTCCCTAGAACTTAAGAAAATGTCCAAGACATAAATCATAGGAACCAGGCCTACAAGAAATTTTAACAGTGTTTAGTGATTCTGTTTTAAGTTAGTAATCTTTTTCATATTCATCACAACTTTTCTGTATTGTTTCAACAAAAGCTATGTCAACACCAACGCGTCTACCTTAATTTCCCCGTCCCACTGTATAGAATCTTGGCTGCTCCCCAGATTCTTCTGATATTCAGGATAGGTCCACATAACTTGCACTTGTTTTCTTTCCAAACTACTCAGTGTGAAAGAACTACAACGGCAAAGGTTGGTACGCCGCAGGTGCCTGCATTCACTCTGTTTGATTATCCAGCCTCCTATGTATCATACATACTTTATATATTTCTATACGTGCCATACTGCTTTGCCATTAGCAGCTGGTTCTTACATCAATCCACTTGATATTTGCAGGGCAGAGTTGAAGACACACAGAGAATTACAGTTGCAGTCGTTTCAGTCATGAAGTCCACTCACCTCCCAAGACTGCATTAACAGATGTGACTTCTGGATGGAACGACTACAGGGATAACTCAGCCGCTGCAGCCGCTTGTCACTTTGATTTTTTACAATGTCTGCTGAGATTCTCCGGGTGCACAGTGACGTGTCTGATCATCTGGTCTGAACAGTCACGTGTGGGTTGTGGATACCTGCCAAGATCCGCCAACAAAACAGACAGTTTCTCAATTTCCATGGGCAGACCTCGCAAAAAGAGGATAAAATATAATAAATGATCAACCTGTGAAGTCTATAGCCTTCAAATTGTCTATTGTTACTCCAGACTTGTACAGCTTGTTATCTGCCTGGGGACCGATTGATCAACACTCCAGTAATCAATAGAGCCTTTTCATTGTCCTGTCCTTGGGAGGACCTTTCTACATATCCTCAGAAGATTATCATGCCTGATCAATGGAACACACACAAAACCAGCTTCCTCCAGTTTCCTTCCTAGTGTGAAAATAAACCACAACTGATCCATTTTGATTTTAACAGCTGTTGGCTGCAAGGGGCCCAACTCAATCTGAGTCCTGACCTTGGCCCTCAGTCAGTTTGTCCGCTTACTACTCAGCCACTCATGTCTTTGTAAAAGCAGCCCCCTTAGCGGGTGTATGAATACTCAAACAGCTGCACCATGACCTTCCGGCTTTGGTTCATCACCACTGTTTATTGTGTTGAGGATAGAAAATTGAGTCTAAGCTCATAAAATCTGTGCAACACGTCGACTATATTGATTGTTCAACTGGACAGAGCAATGACTTTGGACAAGTTTAGTTATGCTGTAATAGTGTCACAGAATAATTAACTTATGAATAGGGCAACACCAGGGACAGAAAATTAGCTGTTTTCACGATCCAACATGGCCGCCTCTGTGGCTAACAGTCAGTAGCAAGGTAAAAAAAAAAAAACAGACTCATTTTTGGTTAATGAAGAGAAAAACAACAAAAAAAAAAAAAAAAAACAGACTAATTTTTGGTTAATGAAGAGAAAAACAAGCTAAAATTGTGTGATACTGATAACCTGTAACCTCTGCATATTGACCAACGCTTGGCTAATATATACTTATATTTACTCTCCTTGAATAATGTAAAACATGTTCATCTTGAGGCTTATTTTTGGCCACCTGTAGGCTAGATTTTACTCATTTTTGTTAAACACCGATGCAGTTATTTATGTTATTTAAATTTCTAAACTGATTGTTTTGTCCCCGGCAGCTCACAGGTGCATGATAAATGTCTTCGAAGCAAAGGACAGGGATTGCATGAGATGATGAAGACTTGTGGAAAATGTTCCCACTCAACTATAGCAGAAGTTTACTTCACATTTGACACGGGTGTGAAACGCTCAATTTGTCGAAATTTCAAGAGCAATTTCAGATATTTCAAGGGCAATCTGCCTGAAGCCTTTGTTAATTTCTGACCCTGTGCCACACTTGAAAACAACAAAGCAAACTGTAAAGCTGCTTATGCACAAAATAAGAGGGGGAAAATGTGTATGTGCCACAAGAACATGTGCAGTGAGCCTCACAGCCTTAGATAATAGCATTTGGGAGTTAGTGCAGCAGGCGACAGCAGACCAACATCAAAGCAGGAAGACAGATACAGTTGCCTTAACAACCAGCGCAACAAATTTACTGCATGGATTCTGCTTCTCTGCCCTTCAACCAGCATCTACATATAGCCATGCTACATTACTGTTTATTTTTCTTAAGTTGACTTAAGTCTGACACTTTTTCAGTTTATTGTCAAAGTAAGTTTTAATTTACATACGCTTCGTCAGGTCAGACCAGTTTTAACATATTCATGACTAAAGTTGGATTACTGAGAAAAGTAAACTACAGGACAGTTGATCTTGTTGTCCTCATTCATCTAAGAGGAGTGTCCAAAATGGTGGTCCGTGTACTAGAGGTAGGGACAGAGTTAGATGTTTTGAGGTGCAAGGCTACACACGTACAGTGAGTGCAGTCAGAATGGCGTAGGTTTTTGAATCCCACATCTGACATGATACCTTTGGAGTGGACCAAGTTCTAGAGGTCAAACAGAACATTCTCTGATCTGACTTGGTTTTACAAAGAAGTAATTTGTCCACTCCACCAAGGAACATACTGGAAGTAAAGTCGGACTCCTGTTACGCCATGCACATTACAATATTTTTTTTGTAATTTGTCAGCTGAGATCAGACATCCAAGCTTGTCCTCAGAAGTCTCTTGTATTAACTCTTGTATTGGCTTTATTCCATTCAGTGATCACAGATATATGCAGATAAGTCTTTTTTTTTTTTTTTTGCCTAATGACTTGTCAATTGCTCCTTTGTGGACTTCACACTTAATGTTGGCCCTGCTGTCCACATGGTCGACAGCGTCAACGCTATCTCAAAGCCAGAATTCTGAAAGCATCGCCTGAAGTCAAACACTGATAAGTGATTTGGGTGGATAAGAGTGAGGAGAAGGGAGAAACACTTTTTTTTTTCATATGACTTGAAGATAGCTAAATTGTTCACGGTGTTGACTCCTTGCGTTTCCCCTTTTTCTTTTTCTTTGAAAAAGCAATGGGGAAAAGTCTTCCTGCATCAAACGACTGTGGCATTTCTTCTGAGCTTTGAAAATTGGGTTTAGTTCTTATCTCAACAGTGGTGATGGTAATTTGCTCCGTGCCCAGCACTCTTTTTTTTTTTTAGCTTGGTCACATAGGGCTCTAGAGTGTGTCGTGTCCAAAATAGCAAGTCAGACCAAACCAGAGACACGCATGGCAAACCTAAATGCGTACTTTTGTGTGTACGTGCTCCAGTCTCCCGACGGCCTGAGACTAAACAGAAATGATATTAATCCCCTCTTTTGCTCTCATTGCCCTTGTGTTTTCATCATTTTTAATAACATGGTTTTCCATTCAACAATTAATCCAATTAACGTGAATCCAGATAATTAATGAACATGCTGTTAGCCCGCTTTTGAAGAGGAGGCTGTAAGCTCGCGCTCAATGAGCTCGGAGAGCGCCCTGAGTTTACAAGTGAAAGAACACTGTTGGAGACAATGGGGCCCTCGGTAGGGGCCCCTGAAGCTGTTTGCTGCCTGCCTCGGGGACGGCGAAGCCGCAGGAAAGTGTGTGAGTGGGACGCGGTGACTCTGCCAGAGCAGGGCTGTGTGCGATAAGGGCTAGAGCTCTGGAGGAGGCAAAACAACAGGCCCAGGGGTTCTGATAACACATACAAACAAGAGCAGCATCTTTCCCTTTTTTCCTTTTGACTTACTTTCTTTTGGCTCAGGGAGTATGGAGGAGAAAAAAGGGATGGCAGAATCTGGGGCATTTCCATTTTGAAGAAAGTGGGAACAGAAAAAAAAAGTATCCTTTCAGCAAATAGAGCAGAGTAAATACAGAGAGGGACATAATGTAAGTATTATTCATTCTAAACTCATATCATGAGCCTGACATGACAAACACCCTGCACCGGGGCTTGTGTGGACTTGTTCAGGCACCTGGATTGGTTCCTGTTTGTGTGTGCACTAAGTAGTGTGTCAGTCACTAAACATTTACATTTCTTTTAGTTGTTTTTTAAAATCTGTCCACGTGGGAATCGAAAGTGAAATTCAAAGTGTTCATTTTCGTAACTCAGCACTTTTATCTTACTCCCACACAAGTCAACTTACATGTCAGCAGCCTCTGTATGTGACAAATGTACAGACGCCGTTCAAATGAATCTGCTCAGCTGACCTATCAGGTTTATATCAACATGCCAGCGCAACCGTGCAGGAGCAGCTCACTTTCGTTAACAACCGATGAGTCATGATAACATGCAGATTTATGTCCTCTGGAAAAACAAAAGCTAGAAAAAATGTATCATAATCAGGCAGCACTTTGGCTCTTCTGCATAACTGTAATAGGTTACAGGTTTCAGAGTTCAGACTGTAGCTGTATTACTGGTTCACCAGGACCAAAAAACACATTCCTGTTGCCTTCACTTCCATTAGTCACTTCCCGTGAGAGGCCAGACTGGTG